AGCCCCACAATCCCTGCTATTGTGGTTAAGTACTGTCAATAATATATTATATATCTGTGAAGAGTTGAATTGGCAAAAGTTGTGTGATGGACGTATGTGCAAAAATGACCAAAAGTACCAAAAGTAGCTGCTAAGCCTGCTTAAGTATAACCAAATACTTCATGAGATTTGGTGTTTTGGTTTGGAGGTAGGGTAATTATTTCATGAGGCATCCCAGTTAATTGGCCTACTAGCACGTGTAGGCTTCTCTTCTACCTCCTAGTTCATTGCATTGTTCCTGGGGTCTTAACATTTACAGATGGCCATCCAAGGCACAATTGGTCTTTATTCACCTGGAGCAACAGAGGAAAAAGAAGAGTCAGGAATTGGAGGAAGAAATGGAATATGTGGCTATTTGCCTCCTTTGCCATAAGACCGGAAGAACTGGATGGTGCCTGGCTACCATTACTAAACATTTTGATAGGTGGTTCCATAGAAGAATCCTGATCAAAAGGGGGGAAATGCTGAACATAATTTCAAATTCTCATGGACTCCAGACTTTCTGGAGCCATGGAGGCTGAATGAATCCCTGAAACTATTGCCCTGAGATAATACCAAAAAATCCCCTAAAGCCTTTTTAAAACCAAACAGTTTAGCTTAACTGGCAAGAAATTCTCACCTTCAGCATTACACTCTTTTAAGAACTATCCCCATGGGATCAAACTGACAGCAGCAGCTCCAAGGACTAGTTAAGCACCTTAGGGGGCAAAGAGTTATGTTAATGAGGGAGAAACAAGTCAGGAAAGGAAAGTGAGAATGTTTGTACAAGAATGCAATCAATGTCACTAAATTGTACATGTAGAGACTGTTGAATTGGTGTGCTTTGCTGTGTGTATTCTCAACAACAAAATTAATTTAAAAATTTTTAAACCATACTATTTTGTATTTCTCTATGTATTTACCATTTCCAGTGTTCTTCCTGCAAATCCGCGTTTCTGCGTAATACTATTTCCCTTTAGCCTGAATGATATCCTTTAATCGTTCTTAGAGTACAGGTTTGCCGGCACATCATTCTCGTTTTTTGTTTATTTGAAAAATGTTTTCATTTCACTCTCCCTTTGAAGACTTCTGGCTAGATAATTCAGGGATGACAGTTTGTTTGGGTTTTCCTTGTGCGTTCTGGGGATGCTGTTCCATTGCCTTCTGGCCTCCATTGTTTCTAATGAGTGCTCAGCACGGCCCCTGCCACTGTCCCCGTGTCTATAATGGGTCTTTCTCCTCTGGTTCTTCTCAAGAGTGTCTATTTATCTGTGGCCTTCAGTAGCTCGACTATCATGTGTGTAGAAGTATTTTTTTATTTTCTCTTAGTATGTTTGGGTTTTGCTGAGCTGCTTCAATCTGTAAGTTGGTGGGTGGGGTTTCCATCCAAATTGGAGTATTTTAGGCCATTGTTTCTTCAATGATATTTTCTTAACCTTTCTCACTTTCTCCTCCTGGGATTCCTTCCTGTAAATTCTACTATTTGATACGGCTCCTTAGGTCCTTGATGCTCTGTTCTTTTTCCTTCCATTTTTTTTCTCTCTCTTCTTCAGGTTGGATGTCTTTTGATATGTATATAAACTTCCAACCTTCATTAAGCCTAGCCTGTAAACTTTTTATTTTAGTTGTTGTGCTTTTCAGTTCTGTATTTTCCTTTTTTTATCATTTCCATTTCTCTACTAATTGTCTCTCTGTCTTTTCTCTCATTAAGGAGCTCTGATAGTGCAGTGGTTCAGGCATTTGGTTGTTAACCAAAAAGTCAGTGGTTTGAACCCACCAGCCACTCTGTGGAAGAAAATCAGGCAGTCTGCTTCTGTAAAGATTTACAGCCTTAGACACACAATGGGAGTTGCTATGAGTTGAAATCAACTCGATGGCAGTGAGTTTGGTTTTTGGTTTTCACTCATTAAGACCATGTTTTTGTAATTATTTTAATCTATTTTTCTCTATTTAAATAGCCACTTTAAAGTCTTTTTCAGATATGTACCACTGGTACATGCCATTTTGGGGTTGTTGTTGTTGTTGTTGTTGTTGTT